TGGCTCCAAAGTACAGACCACTAGACTTTCCGGGATAAAGGACATGTGTACTTGGCAATGGCTAGGATAAGCAGACATACTAGCACTCATTCATTTTTCTTCTTTTGTTTCTGTTACATGCTAAATGTTGAGCTGAGAATTAAGGATGTTGTTGAACTTATCCATTCGCAAGAAACATGATAATTACTATTTTACGACTGCAATTGTTAATTGTTATGACTGCAGTTATAGAAAAAAGTGGGTTTTTGGCAAAGGATTTGATGTAAAGAAAAAAAAAACCTCAAAAAGTTGGATTTACACAAGTAATTTTACTTAAGTTTTCTCAGAAATAGTCAATCAGACGAGTGTTGATGTTAAACGCTCTCTTTGGGAAGAAGAAACTTTAAAAAATCTACAAGTCTATAACGACTACTTCAAGGATACTGAGGTAACGGAATTGAGTGTCGATGAGATTCTGAAAGCAGCAGTGATTGCGTGCCAAATATAATGAGTTTTTCCGCTAGTTTGACTCATTTGCGGCAAAAATTTCTTTTTTCGGCATTTTTAGAATATTTATGCGCATCATTAGTTTGAGCGTGTCAAAAGGCTTGAGGGCGAATACGTCAACATCTGCAAGTTGAGGGCTGAAACTGATAAATATCTTGACAGGAACTCGATTTTATTTTGAGTTCAATCCTATCTCCGATTAACTCGTCTGATATCTTTCTCATTAAAGATTTCTTTCAGAACCAATGAGCAAAGCTATGCCATGAGACGAGAAATCTGTTTGGTTCTCATTTAGAGGCAAAGCAGTAATTAACAAAACAGAAACGATGCTGTGTTTGTCTGGCATTTCAGAGAAAAGTTGATGAGGAAAGAAACGATCAAAAAGGATAAGGATTATTCTGGAAAACTACCTCTCTTGGAAAATGAGTTGAGGGGTTGCTGAGGAAATTCTATCGGGCAAATGTGGGCGATAAGGCAAATCAAGCTTTTTTTTCCTGTTATTGATTCAGCTATTCATTTAGTCACGGAATCTCCTTGGAAACAAATGACGTTATTTTAGAACAAAGACATGAATTCGGCTGCTTCAACTTAAACACTTCTGATGTGA